CTGGCAATGGCAATCATCATCTTCGCAACTATCATGTACTACGCCGAAAAGAAGGTCAACGATACCAGGTACACTAGCGCTCACTTCTACAGGTTTTCGAGTTTCCATCGTTTATCTATTTATTTATTTACTTATCCATTTATTTATTTATTTATTTACTTATTTATTTATCCGGTTATTTATCCATTCATTCGTTCACTCCCTATTTCGAAAACGAGAAGAGCGTTGAGTGCGGACCACGCTTCACAAGTGACGACTGCAAGAAAAAAGTCACGTTTTTGCTGGCCATCGTCTTTTGTGGTGTGTGATCTGCACTCGACGATCTTCTCGTTTTCCGAAATACAGTATACTTATTGAGCGCTTTTTCATTCGATCCCTTCTTCGAATTTCACTCTTACCTGTTTATTTATTGTTTACTATTTATTCAACAACAACAGAAATCGATTTCTTAATGAGAAAAGAAAGGAAACAGTGAGAAAATGAGTGATCCTTCCTTTGTTTCTTATTCATTTTCCTTCCCTTTATGACTCCTAAAGTCAACTGCCTCGTTAAGGTTCACTTCCATTCCGGCAGCATTTTGGTACACGATCGTAACGGTGAGTTGTTCATGGTACACTTTGGGTCAACCAATAATTGATTGATCCGTTGATCGATTCCAAATATGTTTCAGTTGACTACACTTGGTTATGGTGATATGGTCCCGTCGACGGTAATGGGTAAAATCGTTGGTGGAATCTGTTCATTGTCTGGAGTGTTGGTAATCGCGTTACCGGTTCCGGTGAGCTATCGATTATCGATTTCTTGTGGTTCCATTTTCCTTGCCAATCGATAATGTCGTTTTTCTACTGAGATTTCTCCTTCATTCTCAGCTGTGTGATTAAGGTTATCGTCAGCAATTTCTCGCGTATCTATCACCAGAATCAACGTGCTGACAAGCGACGAGCGCAGAAGGTCAGGGAAATCAAATATTGATTTCATTGGTTCGTATTGATCTACTTTTGTTCTGTTTTTAGAAAGCTCGCCTGGCGCGTATCCGAATAGTAAAGAATGCATCTGGTCAAGCACTGTTCAATAAGAAGAAGGCACATGAAGCTAGGATGAAGGCATTCGAACAAGGTTGGTCCGAAAGTTTCCTTCTCAATCAATTATTGATTAG